CGATTCATAAAAGCTTGATGTAACGTCACCAAATGGACTGATTTTGAGATCCCACAGTTCGTGTGCACGGCCAGAGCAAATAACCCTGGCTACACGCGTTCTGCTGTATTTTACCCTGACAGGAGACGGAATGTCTGCACACAGGCTCTTTAATCAGATGACTTCATCAGCTGAGCTGAAGCTTCATCAGATAATAAAGATGAACAGTAGCATTCCTTTCCCCAAGGTTCCTCACAAGAGAACTCCTAAAATAAACTTTTATTCCCAGAAGAAAATATTTCATAAGTAACCATTTTATATTTCAGAATAATCCTTGAAGAAAAGAAGATATTACAATTAATAATCACTAAATATTGCCATGTATAATTAATAAATTAATAAATGATTAAATGTTTCACAAATCTGTTCAATGATGCTAAGTATGTTTACTGGATTAGATCACTCACACCAGACAAGAAGTAAGGCTAAGATAAAGACATGACACATAAACTAACCTTGTTTCGCAGACTCAGCGGCTCTGCATCACAGAGTGTGCGTTCTGAGAATTCTTGATAACTTTGGTGATAGACAAACAGCGGGCTATATAAACCAGCCGCTCTGCTTCTCCTCTGTTCAGTCCGAATATCCGACAGAACGAGAGTTCGGAGAGCAAGTGGAGGCCGGCCACCTCTCGGGAGATCTCTAACTCAAAGGAAGGATTTTGACACACTGTCAAAACCTTAAGCTTTTGCACCTGCAAAGCCGAGAACAACAAGAGATTTTTCCAGCAGAACAAAGCTGATTTTGCAACACTCCTTCAGAGTGGTTTTGAGAAGCTTGGTTTCATCCAGTTCACCCGTGTTACCAGGAGTGATCCTGGACCGACCCGGTCGTACCAGGAGTTAGTCTACGGACTTCTGTACCCGGGGTCTCCAACCCCCTGACATCTCGGATCCGCAAGGGCACCTCCACTTGGGTACGTGGAACACAGTGATAGCATCTGTATGCAGTTTGATAAGAACAGCTTACAGCTCAGATGCAAACCAAATTATTTTATTATCCAGAACTCACCTCTCTCTGAGATGCGGAGATTTTGACTCTGAAATACTATATTCACACCTATTTCCAGACACCCATCTCTTAGTTTGCATCCACTCACAGTAAATAATAGTTTAAACCATTTGTCAAGTCTTAAATTGTTTGTAAAATAAATTATCTGTTTGCAAACTTGACTGTTTCTTGAATCATAAGCAAAGTGTGATGATCCCTTAATAATTAAAAGAATCCTAGAACCTTCTAATCAATCATCCTAAGACCAAGCAAGGTGATATTCTATAATAATAGACTATTACAGCTATTGGTCACAAAGTAATGAGAATAGAAATAAATAGCTCTTTAGCAATTTATTTAATCCAGTTTACCCTCTATTGACTTCATTATATTGATGAGTCTGACTGACTGATCCAAGAAGATGAAAACAATCCAGTCAGGTTTCACACTAAAGCAGCAGCTTCCTTAAAAAACCCAGTTTGGACTCGTCTCAGCCTAAAAACCACAGACCCGTTTCTAAACGACCCTCTGTCTCTACAATACTGGAAAAGGTTGTGGCGGATCAGCGGATTACTTTTCTGGATCTACACAACAGTTTTGATGAATTCCAGTCTGGTTTTGGTAAAAAAGTGTTCAACAGAAACAGCTTTGCTTAAAGTTTCCAGTGACATCATGATGGCTGCAGACAACGTGGAGTTCACATTGATAGAATTGTTAGATCTTTCTGCAGCTTTTAACACTGTTGGTCACAGCACCTTAACTTGTTCACTGCCAATAGGTATTACTGTGTGGGCGTCGGACGAGCCCCCGCACCGCTGCCAATAGGTTTTACTGTGTGGGCGTTGGATGAGCCCCCGCACCGCTGCCAATAGGTTTTACTGTGTGGGCGTTGGATGAGTCCCAGCACCGTGAGAACAAACATCTCAGCTCTAAAGCCGATCGTCACACGTCACGTGATCAGGAAGCCGAAAATCCACGTGTTAGGAGATCGTTTTGGGCCACTGCTGTAAAAAAAGGTGAGGCGTGAACCGGCAAAGCTTCTGCTGATCACAATTCAACAACGGATCATGAAAGAACGGATAACGCTCGAAACGCGCAAATTCTTCCCGATGTAAGAGGTGAGCCTCCGCTTTGTTTTGGTTCTTTTGATGTCGACATCATCCTAGCGCGCAACGTTCTGTGTCTCTTAAAAAACAGTAAAAACAGTGAGAAATGCTGGCAGCGAATGAGTTAATTAACAGACTTGGTGACTTGGTGGGGATCTCTGGAACTGTTCTAGACTGGTTTAGATCGTACCTTTCTAACAGAAGTTACAGTGTCTGAAGTAACCAAACCATGTCAGATTCTACCCATCTGTTCTGTGGGGTACCCCAAAGCTCTGTTTTGGGCTCACTGTTGTTTCTACTACACATAGAATCCTGACTACAACTTTCAAGTTCCAAAGACCAGATATAAATGTCGAGGTGATCGCTCCTTCCAGAATGTTGCACCGAGACTTTGGAATGACCTTCCTTTATCCTTACGCAGCATTGACAGTCTGGACTCTTTTAAAGAACAGCTGAAGACCCTTTTATTTAAAGCTGCTTTTACATAAATCTTTTATTTTCAACACAAATTTGTAATCATCTTTCATTTGTTTTATAATATTTTATAATTTACTGATTTGACTTTTTCTGATCAAAATTTATTTCTGCTTCTGGATCATAATGATTTTATGACTTTATGATTTGTTTTGATCAACAGCATGTGAAGCACATTGTGATTTTCTGTCTGTGATGAGCGCTATATGAATAAAATTTACTTACTTACAATAAAGAACAGCATCACTGCATCCTTACAGACACAGAGATCACCTCACCACCTGGTATACCTGACTTGTCTGATAAAGTACAACCAGACTGCTTCTACGTTCCTCTTCTGAAGCTTATCCTATAATAAAATAAATGATCAGACCAGAATTCAGCTGTAATCAGCCTGGTGGTGTCAGCAGGGCAAAGCGCAGTTCAACAGGTGGGTGTACGCTCATAAGCAGATAACTAGAGAACATACTAGAAGTTAGATTTCTAGGGTGTAAGAGCGTACCTGAACCCTTTAGGGTCTGGTTTGTGAAGAAACATAGAAAAACTTTTCAAAATTACTTAAATAAATAAAATTTTAGTAAGAAAAATTGTCTTAAAAAAAGAAAGAAGATTTTTAACAGAAACGAGCAGCATGCATGGAGGAAACTATTCAAGATTTAAACAGGGGGAAAAAAACCTGTAAATTTAGAATGTAGCATCTCTGAGTTTAAAGTTCAACATGGCTGACTTGGGAAATAATGGAGAAAACTATTATTTTAGGCTTTCTTTGCAGCTCCTACACATGTTGCTGCTTTTATGACTTAATTATTAACGTGGCGTGTTGGCATCTGAGCTCAATATTAAAATCAAGGATGCTCTGATCAGGTGATCATTTAGCATGACTCGATTCTTCAGACGAAGACAAACTGAATCTGACCCCAGGACCGGAAGTTTTTCTTCTTTTTTAATATCGCCCAACACAAGAAATCAAAGCCGTGCAAACAGGAAGTGAGACTATCGTGTTGCCTGCAACTTCCTGTTTCCTTTCAATTGGGTCCAAAGCCATAATCTTTATCACCATCATCAGAATCATCATGAACACCATTTTCATCAAGATAAATTCCACATTTTTTAACATCACATTTGTATCATTTACAGTGTTTATTATACATGTGGTGTGCTTCCTGTTTGTAAACCAAATTTCCCTGACTGGACATTAATGGTTCATAATAAACATCAACAAATATCTGAGTCCTGATCACAGAGTCTGATTTATCCAAGTTTGAGATATGAGAGTTGTAGCTGTTCACACACACACACACACACACACACACACACACACACACACACACACACACACACACACACACACACACACACACACACACACACACACACACACACACACACAGAGAATGTATAGAGGCAAGCAGGCCCATTACTTCATATATGGCTCAAATATTAACATCAAAGCTGGATCTGACAGGAACAACTTCACAACATCTCCCCACCTGGGAAGACGTTCCACTCAAAAAGTCGGCTCTTTGAATCTTAGAAATTGTTCCTAAAAGACGAATCGAACTGAGGCACTGTGTGTGTCCATCATGTCTCCCGCTCTCCAGTCAGACTTCGGAAGCTTTTTACTTTAAAACATGTTGACGATCCTTTGTGAAGGTAAACCCGTCGTACTCAGAACAAATTATTTCAGACAATCCGTGCTTTTTCCTTTGATCTGGAACAGTTAACATTTTCCATCGTCCACTACAGATGCCAACAAAAGCCCAGATATGCCCAGTGGAGGAGGACGGTCCACATGTCTGTTTAATATCCATCATTCTACAGAGGTGAAGTTGTCCGCTGAGCCATAAAATCCACAGAAACTCCACATCCTCCTCGGCACAAAGGAAAACCTCCATGAAGAAATCAAAAGTCCTTAGAAAGGATGCGTGGCTAAAAATGACTGCATCACACTGCGACCAGTCTGAAAGTCCATTGATGATCCATCGTGTCAGCATAAACTTGTCATGTAAAACGTCACATCATCTGCATATAGAAACATGTTTGATGAACCCAGGTGGACCCAGCTGTCCAGCTCAGTGGTTTCTCCTCATTAGAAACAAAAATCTGACCGATGGATCTCTATACTTGACTTTGGGCTTTCTGAAATCAGATCTCTTGTTTGTTTATCTCACTCCTCCCCCTGCAGTTTGAACCAATCCCTTCGTATATATGGAGCTAGCGAACCTGTTCTGTTGGGGATCAAAGAAAAGGACTAAGTTGTCCAAACAACAGGACATATGTCACAGGTAACAGGGCTTTTCCAGATTATTTGAAGCAAAATGAAGTAATTCACCAACAATAAGAAGCAATTAAACAAAGCAAACATGTTAATGGTCTAATAAACCACCAGTGTTGGTCTGTGATGAAAACATCTTTACTTTATTCTGTCGGTTTATCTGCAGACAAACAGGTTCTGTACATGGAAAATAACTGACTGATGATATAAAGACCAGCAGAAATCCACCCCGGATGAGAGAAAACCAAGTCATTTCCTTCCTGATGGGTTTCAGGAGCTTCCTGTAGAAGGAGGAAGTTTACTGCTGGATAATTTGGATATGTCCATTCCTCCAAACACCAGCAGTCACAAGAAGAACATGAGCACTATGGATGCTTTTAAGTTATTTGATTGAAAGGTTTCTCAGAAAATGGCTGACAAATATAAAACTGTCCTCATTTTTGTGTTTCTCCACCAAGTCAAGTTTCTACATTTTAATGATGTGATGGTAAAACTGCAGGAGTCAGAGTGAGAAGCCCTGGATAACAAACATACCGGTCTCTGACTGATCCCTTCAGCAGATTTTTAATATGAAACATGAACAGAAATACAAAGTATGACCTTTGATCTGTTCTGCAATTTCTACTTTAATGAGCTAAAATAAAAGTGAGCTCTCTTTGTTTTAAAGGCTCTTCTAAATCTGATGCATTTGGGCTTTTTCTGTTAAGTGAGATAATTACGTTTAAGCTTCTGAATGGTTCTCTTCCTTTGGTCACTTGAGAGTTTGGCAGACTGAGTCTGGCAGAAAATGTAAATTTTTTTGCACGGTCAATCCTGGATCAAGCTAAAACCTGTCAGAATAAACTAGAGTTTGAGTCTGTTTTGTTTTTTTACATTTGATCATTTATTTGTTCCCCTTCACAGCCTTTCCAGCTCCGCTCATTAAAACAAGACAAACCAGAACATCGTCACTCTTCAAAGAACAATTAGTTTTCCACATGTGGCGCTTTGGGTGAATTAGAGCAAAACATCCGTGTTACAATCGACTTTTATATGAGGGACGCTGATCAAGCAACACAAGCTGGATATTTTCAGGACTGCTGGAGTTTTTGATCACGACAAAACGAAGTGGCTCTCTAAATTCAAGCTGAGGCCGTTTGATTGTTGTGACGAGTTAATGAGATTTCTGAGTGCTGTGAACAGAATCCACACGGTGTTAATTACTAAACTGTTCAATGATCAACATGTGGCTGATTACTGGAGGAACTGCCTCCACGTCTCACATGGTTTCATTTGCTTCTGATTTAAAGCCAAAATAAATACAGAAAAAATAATCGAAGGAAAGTTTGAAACATTGAGTTTGTTTCAAAGGTTTAGTTGCATCGTGAGGATTTTATAGTTTATTCATTATGGACATTTTTCTAAATCTAGGAGTAGCCTGATCAGACTCCGCCCACTTTATGGGTTCCCCAAAAATTCTAATTTATTGGACTGAAATGTTTCTATATGAGATGGAGGATTGGTCAGGATTGAAACTGTTCTCCTGGAAATGCAAAAAACCTAAAGTACTTTTATTTGTTTTTGCCAATGAAACATAATAATTTGTGCAGGATCTGAAAATGAACGGTACTAAAGCCATCTTAAGTCAAACGTATTTTCATTATTGGTTCTGGTAAATGTTGAGAGCTTTAACACCGTATCTGTCTGCAACATCTCTCTTTTGTCCAGACAAATGCAGGAACTTCAAACATCTGTCTGCACTTCAACTGCACTGAAGGCGACTCATACAAGACACAGTAATTATTATACAACCCAAAGAATACTGGATTGTTCGATAAAAGACACTTGACCCCTTTTCCCAAAGCAAATGGAACAAGTATGCACAGAATTGTTCATCTTCAAAACTTTCAAAACAGCCTGAAACATTGGTAGAAATAAGTAATCAATCCTAAAAAAAAATCCCATATGGCTTAGGTTTAGTTTGATCGTTTGTGAGGTGAGAACAATCAAACGTACATCAGACTAAATGTTTAGAAATTACAAATACAGCGATGACGTTTGTTTCTGGGTGTTAATCCTGACAGCAGTCGGTTGTTTTGGCAATACAAGAACGTTGAGCTTTAATGACAGAATGAATTCTTGTTAGCTCACAACTTTATCGATCTTTGTTTTAAAAGCACAGTTTGACCACGACAGCCTCATGTTGAGGAAATAAAAAATCCATCAGCAGCAAAAACATTTAGTTTCTTTTAAAACAAAACCAGGTTAGAAACCATCTGAATAATCAGACGGGAAGGTTTTCCTGCTACGTTCTTTGTTCTGACTGCACCCGCTAGCTAGAAGAGCGTTAGCGCGGCAGTCAGTGTGCAGTCGCTTCACTCCGGTGCGTACGTAGCGCGTTAGCCAAAGGTGGAGCTCGGAGGTTTTCGTAGCCACTGGTAGAACTGTCGCCGGTGGAGGCGGTGCCAGCGTACGTTGCCTTCAACGATCTCCAGCGCTCGCGGCAGTGCGGGCCCTGCCCCGATGCCGCCGGACTCGGTAAACTCCTTTAACTGAGGAAATGCAGACGGGGAGGTAATGGAGGGAGGAGAAGGCGGAGGTCAGGATGAACAAGTGTTGGAAAAATCAGCTGATAAACCAAAAACATGTAAAGTATGTCCATACTAGAGAGTAAACGATGAGGCATTTCAGTCATTTACATCCAATTATAACGCTTTTAATATGAGAAGTAATCATGTTGTTGGTTTAATTTACTTTCTTACAGGTTTTCAAAAGTGGAATTCAAATTTCCACGTTCAGGTAAAACACACTGTTACGACTCAATCAACGCAACTCCGGGTGGTTTAAAAGTTTCTCACTAGAGTAGCACAGCATGAAAAAACGCTATTCAGAGTCAAAAGGATTAAAGCTGTTATTTCAGGATGCCTGTCTGGACGGGAAACATGGATCCCATTTTACACGCTCCTACTGGTGCCGTGCACCCCCAAACCAACAACCACAGGGGAGTTGTTCGTGTCAGTTTATCCAGCTTTATTCTTTTTATCCTGGTCCATTAAAGGTTGAATATGGAACAATTTAATAAAAATATAGATTATTTAAAATGATACCTCCACTGGGAATTTAGAGCAGGGGTGCCTCCAGAAAATTTTGATAGGGGTGGCCAGATGGGGCCAAAGAAATTTTTGGGGTGGCGCACCAAATTGGTCCTTGTGGTAACTCTGGTTGAATTTAGTTTGTGGCGATGTGCTGCACTGCACCTTTATTTGTTTTTATTAAAATAACAGTACGCATCCAAAACATTTAACTTACAAACACAAACATTTTAGAAAAACACGTCAGTTAATTAAAATTTTATCCCAAATTTTATTTAAAAATGTATTTCTTTTTGGTTTATTCACCTGTTGCTGTGTTCGCAAAAAAATAAAAGCTATGGAGATAAAAACTTTTTTTTAAATGGTGAGCAGCAGAAACATATATATTTTATTCTGACTACGTCTTTACTCATCAATTGTAATATTTTTATTTCTTTTTACAATGATTTCTTGAATAAACAAGATAAATATATGGTTTGACGGGGGGGGGGGGGGGGGGGGGGGCAGCGATTTTCTAGGGGGTGGCCATGGCCACCCCTTGGGGGCGCCTTTGATTTAGAGGGGTGCAGAATGAAGCTGCAGCATTTCCTTTAAACAATACTTTTTAATTCAAAAATCATCAAATATTTATTTTGACGGGTACGATACTGGGTTTGTGTTTACATCTACCGGTCAGTAGAGGATCCTGCTGTGGGTTACCAACAGTCTGCTAAGCACAGCGAGGCTGGGACTGTGGAAAATGGCGGACATGTTGGGTCAAGCAGCTGCTTCTGAGCTCAGAAGACGTTCTAACGTTAAATACCATTACCCTGTTTTAACCCTAACCCTAACGACAACCAACACACTCGATGTCACGTGGTGTTCCTGTTCCTTATTCCGCTACCAACTGTTAAACCTTTCTGCTAAGATCAACAACTGACAGAATTTAGTTTGAAAACATCAAAGAAATGAATGAGTTGTAGAAAAATCTTTAATAATCATTAATAAACTTTTAAAGCCCCTAAAATGGCAGCTTAAAATTAACGTAACTATGAAGAGCTAAGACATTCAGAGCTGTTTGCTGTCATTTCTCAAGATCAATAATGTTTGATGTTTTATTGAAACGCTGACGCCAACATGAAATTAATTCATCAGTAGCTTGTTTTGCTGACGTCAGCGCATCATTAAGTGATCAGGACCTCGTCCATCAGGTAATCCGTTACTTCACCTGGACACCTGTTATAACTAAAATGGTGCACATGTTGTCATGAACATGTCAGAGGGCGGAGCCATCATTTACCGGAGTACACGGTTAATGATGTCACTGTTGTGTTCCTCCTGTTTCTATGGCAACCCACCTGGGTAAGGTGATGCCAGGTGAGAATGCTCAACATTCAGTTCTAACATCCCAACTGGCTTGGGAAGGTTTTAGTTTAGTCGTTTTTTAATGTAGCCATTTTACTGTAATAGTTTTAGTTTCGTCGCACTCGCTAGGGTTTCCTCTAATGGCCTACGTGGCTGAGGCGTTTATATTTACTTCCATCAGAAGGAAAACCTTCCGGTGTCGGTACATGATCTGCTCGGATGCAAGATCGGCTCGGGGTCCTTCGACTGCCGATGACGTCAAAGTACGGCAAACCCACTCGGACAAAATACACTACACATCTATACTGTTGGAAAGAATTTAGCAGTTTCATTATTAAAATAATGTTTCTTACGCCGTAAGTTTGTGTTTATAATGGTATTTGTAAAATAAAACACTATATAGTATTCATAATGTTGAACTCCTCTTTGAGCACATCCCTTGAAGGATCATAGGTATTAGCAACACCTGTGAAACTGTATTTACAGGAAAGAAGTGTGTCCCGTTTATTGGAGTATTTTGTGTTTAGAGTTTTTGACGTCTTGTCCATGCGTAGTTCAGGTACGCTCATAGCTGCTAGCCAAAACTCTGGAGTTAAAAGTTTTCTGGCTTTACTAAAATACCTGTCTGTACTTATTTGATTGATGGTAGTTTTACTTTCTATTAGACTCCAAATGTAATCATTTGGCACGTTTCTAATTCATAATTTGTAAGAATGTAATCTGTGATTTTAGCATTAGCATTCCTATGGGTTTTCCATGTATATTAGCATTGCGCTAACCACTCGCTGCCAAAATGCAGCCTTTGCGATTAGAAAATCTCCTTTTGTCACATCGCAACTTAATTGCACATGCAGTTAATCGTTCAGCCCTAATATACATGCAGCTCTATGCTAAAAGTGTATTTTCAAAGAGGTAATGATGGATTTCTTTGTAAAAGTTGTCCATCTTTCCAACAGAAACATTTGCCTGGACCCACGTAACGTGATAACAATGTAACGTGATAACAACGTAACGTGATTACGTAATTCCGTAAGGTTCATGTTCAGCCAATCAACTACTTTGACGTCATCGGCAGTCAACGGACCCCGAGCAGATCCTGTACCGACACCGGCATTAAAAAGTCTCATTGATGTTGTTAATTTTTCATTTACAACCTTTAAATCAGAACCTGTAGTGAGACGACTCCAGCAGTAAAAAGAAAAGGCTTTCATTAAATACAGAAATTTAAAGGAATACAGATCTGAGGATCTCCCGTGAGCGGAGAATTAACAGAAACCTTTAAAGTTGAAGAGCAAGGAGGAAACTTTGTGTTGTTCCCAGTTTGACAGATTCAGCGGAGCGGGGAGGAAAATCCATCCCTGCAGCTGATTTAGTTTATATTGTTAACTCCGTACGCTTTTGCTTTCCACACCGCCGTCTCGGTTTCTGTTTGCTTTACTCGTCCCTGTTCCCTGCGCTCTCCCGTGTGTGAGCCACCGGAGACTTTTGTTCAGATCTGAAATAAAAACGCATGTCAGTCTTTTCCTTTGTTGCAGTTTTTGTATTCAGGAGTCTCATGGGAAATAATAATGTTTTGTTCAGAGGTTTCTCTGACAGCCAAGGCCGTGCAGACTGTAATTTGTTGCCATACCAACAAGAGGAGTTAAAAAAAGATGAAGGGTATATTTCTATTCGGAAGCCCCTTTAACCCTCCAGCTTTTTATGTTACTTTTCATTTGCCGCTCATCTTTTCTTCCTCTGGATAAATTGGTGAACCAGCTGTGAAATGAATCAACACAGGATGGTTTTATTCAGATTTACTTGTTCAGCCTCATCAACCCAAGCACAGGGAGCTGATGAGGAGGCGGGTCTCTGGAGAACCTCGGGAACAGGGCGTGTTCAGTTTCACCTTCAGCACCGGCTGACACAAAACGTGAGACTTGGGTATTCCAGCGATCACCGGGGTCCCCGAAAGAGAAGGCTGAAAACTCGGAAAGTTACTTAAACTAAAACCTAAAAACGCGTCGCTACGTTCCAGACAACAACAGGAGCAAAGGTCAAGTTCATGAGCTGGACCGACTCATCAGTGGTACGATCTCGTTTAAGACCGATTTTAAAGAGGAAGCACTTGGAATCAGTCATCCACGCTTTCGTTACCTCCCGCTTGGACTACGCTAATGCATTATTAGTTGGAACTCCTGTCTTTGCCCTGAACCGGTTGCAGGTTGTTCAAAATGCCGCTGCTAGGTTTTTAACAAACACAAGTCGACATAGCCATATTACACCAGTCCTGGAACATCTTCACTGGCTCCCCATCACATTTCGTGTGCGTTTTAAGATATTGATGTTTGTTTGTAAAGCCCTACACGACCTAGCCAACACATTCTCACACTCAAGGCGCCAAAATATGACGATTCGGGACGCCCCAGCGCGTCAGGAGACGACGATCAGGGACACGCTGGGTCACGTGGCTCCGTTGCCGTCACTGTTTGACGGGCGCGGTCACACAGGCATTATTCGACTATTTAACTTTCCCCTCACCCCAATCCTAACCTTAAGGTCCATAAACTGTGACCTTAAGGTTAGGATTGGGGTGAGGGGAAGGTTAAGTAGTTCACAAGTAGTTCTAATGTCCGTCTCACCACCGGCATCAGATACCGACGCTCTGGGACGCTGCGTCATCAGTTTGTCCCTGATCGTCGTCTCCTGATGCGCGGGGGCGTCCCGACTCGTCATATTTTGACGCTTTGGGTGTGAGAATGTGTTGGCCTAGCTCCTCCTTATCTGTCCAACCTGCTGACTCCCTATGTACCTACTCGTGTGTTGAGGTCAGCTGACCGTCTACTGCTCAGCATTCCCGGATGTTCTACAAATAACGAGGAGAACGTGCGTTTGTCCACGCTGACCCCATGCTCTGGAACTCATTGCCCATTACCGCTAGACTGGCGTCCTCTCTGCCTGTTTTTAAATCTCGTTTAAAAACCTACTTTTATGACTTGGCTTTTAGACAGTGATTCATGTCATCCCGTTATGATTTTATAGTTTTTATAGTTGTGTTTTGTCTTCTTATTGTTTTTGCTTTTGTTTTAATTGATCCTGCCTGTTCAGCACCTTGGTCAGCTCTCACGCTCTGTCTTAAACTGTGCTATAGAAATAAAGCTGGTATGGTACTGACTCAGGCGGTTCTGGGTGGATGGAGCCTGAAGGCCAGCTTCTTACATATAGCTTCATCCTGGCACCACCAGAGGGTCGTGCCAGGATGGCGTGTACGCGGTAGGATCGTCATGGAAACAAGCTGCTGAGTAGAGGATGCAGACATGCCAGAAACAGCCGTTTTCTAGGTTATCGAGAAAGCAGCGTCACACTGGTCAGAGTTTCCTTTGATCCAGCCATGTTCTCACGTTTGTCTTTGAATCGGCCTAAATGTGACTCTTAAGGGTCTTCAGCTGGAATGTTTTATAAAAGTGGGACGGAAGAAGTGACTTTCTGCTCCGTTCCCTTCCAAACGGACCCAGAGAACCCCTGCAGGAGCTCAGCGACGTCTGTGTTTTTACCTCGCTGAGCTCTCGCTCCGTGTTCAGGAACTCTGTGACTCCACTGATGAGTTTGGAATTCATGAACAAAGCTTCTCCGTATCTGAGAAGAGGGAGGACGTCTGTTAGCCACAGCGACTCAGCAAAAAATAAAAAATAAAAACACGAGGAGGATCTCACCGCGCGTTCAGGATGTCCCACTTCTCTCTGAAGTATTTCCAGGCCAGGCTCCGACCCTGAGGGTTTCTGCCCACGTGGATGATCACGTCGATCACGTCCTGCTCTGGGACCAGGTCCGACGTCAGGGACAGGTTCAGTAACCTGGAAGGTCACGGGGTCAAGGAAGTAAAACTGCACAGGGGTCAGAATGGACTGGGGTCCCCACCACGTTTAAAAACCAGCACAACGTCCAAATCGCCAGCGCTCGTGCTGCTGTGCAGCGTTTTACTGTGAAAGCTTATATACATGCCAGTGTGCTGCAGTGCCTGCTGCCCTGGAAGGTCAAATGGACAAATGCTTATATATATAAATAATTAATAAATACGGTCTAACAAAACCTGCACATTCAGCTGATGCCCTCAGAACTATTAAAAAGATCAGATAAAGGTTTCCATCCGGACCGATTTAGACGTGACACACTCTGAGCCTGGCTGTCAAAACGTCAGAAATCGGGACTAAAAGTGACCAGCTCAAAGTCCTCAAGGCCACAAAAATGTGATTTTTAAACAAAAATTAAAAAGTTGCCTCAAAATAAAAAGATTTAAAAGTATGAAAAAGTTACAAAGTGTCTCTTTAAAAAGGAAATCTGAAATAGTTTAATAAATGATTCACTTTTAATAAAAAAACACGATGATGTGAAGAAAGTCTCATTCCAATAAAAACTTCTTTATCTGTAAAATAAAGTTTGAGGAACGAACTTCAAACTCGAGACAAATCAGCCGATTTCAGGCAGAAAAGGTCAGAAGGTTTGTCCCACTGGCGTGTTTCTGTCGACTCAAAAATCACTTCCTGTCAAAGCGAACATGAGTTACAGTAATCAGATTACTCGTGGAGGCAGGTGAGTGACAGAAACTTTCAAAAACACAATAAAGAAAAATGTTTTTAGACGCCAAACGAAAAAGGTTTGTTGTCAAAAGTAGCTGTTCCCGTGTGTGTGTGTGTGTGTGTGTGAGTCTTTCTATGTGTGTGTATGTATGCGTGTGTGTGAGTCTTTCTATGTGTGTGTATGTATGTGTGTGTGTGTGTGTGTGTGTGTGTGTGTTCCTGTGTGTGTGTGTGTTCCTGTGTGTGTGTGTGTGTGTGTGTTCCTGTGTGTGTTCCTGTGTGTGTGTGTGTGTGTGTGTGTGTGTGTTCCTGTGTGTCTGTGTGTGCTCCTGTGTGTGTGTGTTCCTGTGTGTGTGTGTGCGTGCTCCTGTGTGTGTGTGTGTTCCCGTGTGTGTGTGTGTGTGTTCCTGTGTGTCTGTGTGTGTGTGTTCCTGTGTGTGTGTGTGTGTGTGTGTGTGTGTTCCTGTGTGTCTGTGTGTGCTCCTGTGTGTGTGTGTTCCTGTGTGTGTGTGTGCGTGCTCCTGTGTGTGTGTGTTCCCGTGTGTGTGTGTGTTCCTGTGTGTGTGTGTGTGTTCCTGTGTGTGTGTGTTCCCGTGTGTGTGTGTGTGTGTGTTCCTGTGTGTCTGTGTGTGTGTGTTCCTGTGTGTGTGTGTGTGTTCCTGTGTGTGTGTGTTCCCGTGTGTGTGTGTGTGTGTGTTCCTGTGTGTGTGTGTTCCCGTGTGTGTGTGTGTGTGTTCCTGTGTGTCTGTGTGTGTGTGTTCCTGTGTGTGTGTGTGTGTGTGTGTGTTCCTGTGTGTGTGTGTGCGTGCTCCTGTGTGTGTGTGTTCCCGTGTGTGTGTGTGTGTGTTCGTGTGTGTCTGTGTGTGTGTTCCTGTGTGTGTGTGTGTTCCTGTGTGTGTGTGTGTGTTCCTGTGTGTGTGTGTGTGTGTGTGTGTGTTCCTGTGTGTGTGTGTGTGTTCCTGTGTGTGTGTGTGTGTGTGTGTGTGTGTGTGTGTGTGTCTGTGTGTGCTCCTGTGTGTGTGTGTTCCTGTGTGTGTGTGTGCGTGCTCCTGTGTGTGTGTGTTCCCGTGTGTGTGTGTGTTCCTGTGTGTGTGTGTGTGTTCCTGTGTGTCTGTGTGTGTGTGTTCCTGTGTGTGTGTGTGCGTGCTCCTGTGTGTGTGTGTGTTCCTGTGTGTGTGTGTGTGTTCCTGTGTGTGTGTGTGTGTTCCTGTGTGTGTGTGTGTGTTCCTGTGTGTGTGTGTGTTCCTGTGTGTGTGTGTGTGTGTGTTCCTGTGTGTGTGTGTGTGTTCCTGTGTGTGTGTGTGTGTTCCTGTGTGTGTGTGTGTGTGTGTGTGTGTGTGTGTGTGCTCCTGTGTGTGTGTGTGTGTGTGTGTGTGTGCTCCTGTGTGTGTGTGTGTGTGTGTGTGTGCTCCTGTGTGTGCGTGTGTGTGTGTGCTCCTGTGTGTGTGTGTGTGTGTATGTGTGTTCCTGTGTGTGTGTGTGTTCCTGTGTGTGTGTGTGTGCTCCTGTGTGTGTGTGTTCCTGTGTGTGTGTGTGTGTGCTCCTGTGTGTGTGTGTGTTCCTGTGTGTGTGTGTGTGTTCCTGTGTGTGTGTGTGTTCCTGTGTGTGTGTGTGTGTGTGTGTGTGTGTGTGTGTGTGTGTGTGTGCTCCTGTGTGTGTGTGTGTGTGCTCCTGTGTGTGCGTGTGTGTGTGTGCTCCTGTGTGTGTGTGTGTATATGTGTTCCTGTGTGTGTGTGTGTGTGTGTGTGTGTTCCTGTGTGTGTGTGTGTGTGTGTGTGTGTGTGAGTCTTTCTATGTGTGTTTATGTATGCGTGTGTGTGAGTCTTTCTATGTGTGTGTATGTATGTGTGTGTGTGTGTGTGTGTGTGCTCCTGTGTATGTGTGTTCCTGTGTGTGTGTGTGTGTGTGTGTGTGTGTGTGTGAGTCTTTCTATGTGTGTTTATGTATGCGTGTGTGTGAGTCTTTCTATGTGTGTGTATGTATGTGTGTGTGTGTGTGTGTGTGTGCTCCTGTGTGTGTGTGTGTATGTGTGTTCCTGTGTGTGTGTGTGTGTGTGTGTGTGCTCCTGTGTGTGTGTGTGTGTGTGCTCCTGTGTGTGCGTGTGTGTGTGTGCTCCTGTGTGTGTGTGTGTATATGTGTTCCTGTGTGTGTGTGTGTGTGTGTGTGTGTTCCTGTGTGTGTGTGTGTGTGTGTGTGTGTGTGTGTGAGTCTTTCTATGTGTGTTTATGTATGCGTGTGTGTGAGTCTTTCTATGTGTGTGTATGTATGTGTGTGTGTGTGTGTGTGTGTGCTCCTGTGTGTGTGTGTGTATGTGTGTTCCTGTGTGTGTGTGTGTGTGTATGCATGTGTGTGAGTCTTTCTATGTGTGTGTATGTATGTGTGTGTGTGTGTGTGTGTGTGTGAGTCTTTCTATGTGTGTGTATGTATGCGTGTGTGTGAGTCTTTCTATGTGTGTGTATGTATGTGTGTGTGTGTGTGTGTGTGTGTGTGTGTGTGTGTGTGTTCCTGTGTGTGTGTGTGTGTGTGCCGTTTCAATGAATCCCAAATCAATTTTCTCTCTTTCCCACAATTCCTCTGTGCTGAATTTATTTCCTCTGTGGCCAATCAGTGTGCTTCAGAGCTGCACTGTGTGTGTGTGTGTGTGTGTGTGTGTGTGTGTGTGTGTGTGTGTGTGTGGCTAATAGGAGAACAGTTTACTGAGCTGAGAAATCAACAGCAGCACACACGTCTTCTCTCTCTGACGTGTGACGGTCGGCCTCTTCGCTTGAGCCTCCATCAGATTCTGACGTTTATTTAAACTGGATGAACTCTGATAATCTGTCTTCAGACTCCGAACGACCGTTGTTCAGCTCCCTTCAGAACGCTCCAGTCACCGCGGTCTGAGCGAGCGCTACGCTACCAGCTGCTGGTTTTCGACGCTGCGCTGATCAATATTTCATGTTGAGAACAAAACAAACGTCTGTCTGCTGTAAAGGCGCAGGGAGATTATAACCACCGACTCATATGCCCGGATTAACCAGTCCTCCTTAAAAACGGAAGTATTAACTGTATTAAAACAAGGAAAAATGACCTGATGAGAAACTAGAAGGTTTCTGAAGAAAGGCGGAGTCTGATCGGGGACTAAACTCTGCTCTAATCTGATTGGACAAAAGGCTTTTATCTCTAAAACATGCCAAGAGAACCATGATGAACAGAAGTGTTAAAGCAGCAGAAAGTGGCTCATGAGGGTCACCATAGCAACCACACACTACCTGTTGAGGAGGAAGGTGTTGTCTGAGCAGGTCAGCGCCTCCAGCAGGATCTTCTTCTCTGAAACGGCGTTGGTGGAGTGAAACTTCATCCAGATGAACTCCCACACGTCTTCGTCCATCAGACTGACCCCGGTGCAGTAGACGATGTCCCGGATGTTGGGAGGAATCCTGCGGGAAGAGGGACACACGGAGAAGCCGTTTAAGGATGCTGGGAAGGTTGTGACTGGAGGGAAGAGCAGAAGCAGAGCAGTAAAGCAGCCCAAAGCCCAGATAAGGCATCCCCTGGATTAACCGGGACACTTCCTGGGTTCTGATTCCAACTCCATTAAAGAGTATCTCCTCGCCTCTGGACAGGAAATGCAAACGCAGACACGCCTAATCCTCCAGCACCAGGCAGGATTAAGCAGAACTACACAGACACGGTTCTGTTGGAGTAAAAGTAGTTTTGTTCTAAACCAAACACAAAATCATCCAAGAACTTCTTTTTAGAAGAAGCTCAGAAACCAGATCAGCTGTTTGTGCTCGCGTCGGGCCGAAGGCGCGATCCAGCTCCTCTGTTAGGAGATGTTTGTGTTTTTAGTTTGTTTTAAATCCTCCAGCAGACAGACATAGAGACAAAGATTCTCCACCCAAAACATCTCACCAGCCAATCAGGCAGCAGAGGACTTCAGGAAGGAGATTTAAGGGCTCTGCATGGCTTTTGGTAAGAGAGTGGTTTGATCTACTGGGATTAGAACCCACAACCCAAGACTGATCAAACTAGTTATAGATGATGGGAAACAACAGCGGCTCAGATCAGCTCTGGTTCCCACCGAGCTCTGCTCCAGCAGCAGACACCAGGTGTCAGCTAAGAACAGGAACCTGAGGCTACAATTCCACCAGGATCACCAGACCCGGACCCGGAGAGACCGGGAAACCCTGTCCAGGTCTGATGCTGCAAACTAACTCTAACCCATCTTCTGATGCTACTTCCAGCAGGACCATGCACCAAGTCACAAAGCTCACAGCCTCTCTACCAGGTTTGTAGAACTGGACTCCAACGGCCTCCACAGCCACCAGATCTTAGTCCAGTCTAGAACCTTCCGGACGTGGCGGAACGGGAGCTTCTCATCATGGATGGAGCTGGTGCCGTCATGTCAGGATGGACCAGAGCCTCTGAGGAGCGTTTACACCTTGTTGAATCCACACCACCAAGACCCAATGCTAGAAAAGTGTCTCTAATAGTGCAACAGAAGAGTGTGTGTGAGTGAGCATCAGTGTTAGAACATAAACTCCACAGAGAAGAACCTCCCAGCTGGTTCCTGACCCGAATCATCAGCAAAGTCAGACATCTCCGTCAACCGCAACTGCAACCAAGCCAAGCGATCAGGATCCAACACCGTGTGTGTGTGTGTGTGTGTGTGTGTGTGTGTGTGTGTGTGTGTGAGGGAGTGATTCAGGGACAATTGCATTATTTACCAGCTTGGGAAATAATTTTAGAGATGCTCCACTTAAGAACAACTTCAACATTCCTGCTGACTGCAGCACAAATATCTGCCAAATACTGTCTTATTAATGCGTGTGTGTGTTTAAAGTGAAGCTAACACACACACACACACACACACACACACACACACACACACACACACACACACACACACACACACACACACACTACTAGTTATCACGTAAAACATCAACCAGCTGCTTTTATCAGGTTTAGAGCTGCTGCTGTTATTAATAACTCAGGAGTTTCTTTTCTCTCTATAGATAGATTACAGTAAAATCCTCCTTGGAAACTTCCAGATGGCTGTGATACGTACGTACGTTTGTGTGTGTGTGTGTGTGTGTGTGTGTGTGTGTGTACTCCTCCTGAATCATCAGGCCCTGCCTCAGCATCACACGCCCCTGCTGACAGTAAACATGCCTCTCCACCATCTGCTCCGTCCGTCTGACTGCTGCTAAAGTTTGGGAAGTTGCCTCTGAACCTTGACATTTACAAAATCATTGATTTTTATAAATCCCTGTGAAAGTTTTGTTTTTATTTGTTTGTGTTTGTAGCGTGAGGAAGTATGGGGTTTTCTGTGCCAAAGGTTGTATTTGCCCGGCTGGGTCGAAGGTCGAAGCTGGGTCACCAGCAACTTTCACCCACAGATTAAGACCTTCTTCAGCCTTCAGAGAGTACAGACGCTTTTTTCTCAGCTCCCTTATCGGCTTCCCCAAGGCTCTTGTCCTGTCTGCCTACAGAGCACTTCTCTGCATTTCTCCTGAAACCACTACTCTCTTTTTGGAAATATGGACTTAATTAATTGGTCATTCAACGTGATTGACAAAATTTTCTCTACGATGAGAACGGAGAAGGGGGCTCCCACCTGTCCCGAGGGGACATTCGCATCGGGATATGCACTCGATTCTTGGGAGGTCTGGCGAATCGTGTGCCTCTCTCAGCTGTCCATCGAGGACGTGGAAGATTTGTGGATATTCGGCCTGATGATCACTGGATTTCTTCTGATTGGAGTGGGAGGATATCTGGTTTTCTGGAAATTTGGGAAGACGGGAGCGATTGGAGTGCGACCCGTACCCACGGAATGTGCCGCTCGTGCGGTGACCTCACAGACTGGGACGTTACTTGAGGTGAACCGTAAGCTGGACAATGTCCTTGCGGCGTTGCCTGTGTTAGTGCGCAAGATGGATTTGATCTCGGAGAGGGTCGCCGGACGATGCGGGGATGTGGAATGTAAAATTGGCTTCACTGGTGGACATGAATGACCACTTAGAGACTACAAGACGGAGGGGAAGATTATCTCTGTCTGCCCTAAACAAAGTTATGTTTATCCTTATCTGACGCCATAGCAGCCTCTCAAGGCTGCCTCAACACACCCCCACAAAAGGAGGAATGCCGACAGATGCTGTGTCCCGACCTTCACCCTCTCCCTTCAGGCTATATCTGCAGGGACCTCAATGTGCTCTCTGTTCCTTATCTCTCCCTCCCACCTGTTGTTCTGCAGCTGGTCGATGCGCCGCAGTGGCAGCTCCCATTGGAGGCTTCAGGATCCCGCCCACCCCCACCTCCCCATTGGACTCTGATGTTGTACACGTGCTGTCTGTGCTTCCATGTCGGGTGTTTTTTTGCATTGGAGTGCTACACCCTGCTGGTGTAACCCTGTTAATGCCTTTTTTTTCCCCTCCCTGAACTTTCCTCATGTAACACCCTTTTCATCTAACTATTAAGGTAGCGCGACTCATGTTGCGAATGACCGCAGTCACCAATTCTTGTTATGTGTCTTACCCACGTATGTCTGATCTTTGAATTGTGTGTGCTGAAACTGAATTTCATTTCTCTGTATGTCCTGCACATGTGGAGAATATGACAATAAATGACTCTTGACTCTTGACCTCAGCCGCCAGCGAGTCTACACGATCCCACAACAACCGAACACCTGGTCTCCAGAAGAAGGAGTTCGCACACAAGCTAGCCATAATAAAAGAGTCTTACGCTTCCTTTGTTTATTAATGCTAAATAATCATTTTATCACTTTGCTCATTATAAATGTATTTTAATCAAATGAATGATTATTATGCTTTGGGTAATCATAATGAACTATAATGAATCAATACTTAATTAAATAATGTTTAGAGATGTTTGGTGATGACCTTCACACTCGCTCACACAGGTCTGCATTCACAGTAACGCCAAAACACATTTGCTCTGACGCACAAATTTGCTTTGGGAAGAGAAGTGGGTTTAGGCAAGTTAGTGAGTTCGAGTTTGACTACGAGAGAGAGCGGACGTGCTGAACAAACGCCAACGGGGAACGGAGCCACCGGCTCAACCCCCCCCCCCCCACCCCCACCCCCACCCACGCTATTCCTGTCAAGCCAGACAGAATAGCTGAAATGCAACAGCTAACGCAGACTCGTCCAGAGCCTTTGATTTCTGAGTTAATTTAAACTTGAGAAAGCGCATCTGCCAAACGCTTCATCAACGTGTACCGAGGTCAACTCTGGACCGGATCGTCAGCGCACCTTCGTCTTCTCTGCCAGCCAAGGTGTCACCTGGATGAAACATCCTCCTGTGACGTTCTGATCTAAAAGAGGGTCCTACGTACGGTGAGGCAGAACATGACAGATAGAGTTCTGGTGCAGTTTTTCTAATAAGAACTAAGTTTAATTCAAATCATCACTTTTCACTCAGATTCGCCTTTTCTCTCCCTGAAGGAATCTCAGACACATGCATGCACGCATTCATAATTCCATCATCCTCAAATCTTAGCACATCCAACACAAGGTCTATTTGTGCAAGCTTAAAATATCAACTGTTAAAGATTGTCCAACAAGGTTGCCAACGTTGATTAATTTTCCTATGATTGTCATTTCAAATCATTAGTTTAAATTGAAGAATTAAAATTCTTAAATTTCAAACTTGTCTCTTCCTTGAACTGAAACACAGACACACGGATATGATCGTCAGTTTATCGATGAAAACAACCTTTGAGTCTTCTTATCTCTATAAAATTTGGCTATTAATTTATTAAAATTAATATCTCAAATTAATATGTAGAATGGTTCCTCTTTAATAAAAGAGCCATAAACCATTACGCTACATGTATAAATTGGGAAGTTTTGTTTTGGATGTGATTGGCCCCGCCCACCATGTGGAGCACCTGACCCAGGTAAAATGCAGTGTCTGTTACAGCAGCACACATTTTAGGTGGTTGCATCTTTAACCAGTGAACCTGTGAAGAAGTCTTTACGATGGAGCAGAAACCTCTACAGACGGTCCAGGACATGGCAACACATCTGGTCTTCAGTCAGCGGTCCCTCGGTTCATGGAGCTCCAGCAACTAGCCTTAGCCACCTGCATCAGTCACTGATGTCAGCCTACAACATCCTGAAAGGAGTGGCTCTCTTCTACTTTAATCCCGTTGCTAAGGCTGACGTCACGACTCGCTCACTCTGGTGGTCTAGAGATTATCGGCTAGCAGAGCCAACACCACACTCAAGACGCCCCAGACTCTTTTTCCACGATGAGGGAAGCTCCTACAGAGCTCCCAGAACAGAGGTGTCCCGGTCTAACACGAAGACACTGCTGAAGACAGAGATCTTCTATCTATGCTAGCCCAGTCGCCTCCGACAGTCTCCATAGTAACCGCATCTTCCTTTGTCATTGGTTCTGGATAAAAGCCTCT